GACAATAAAACTCTTGTTCCAGTGATCGCTTCTTCTTCTTCTGAACTGCTTCTCCTCTATTGGCAATTTCAGGATCGTAAAACGTCAGTCAGGTGCTTACTAGACTAAACGCCAACTAACACAAAAACATCTTAACACCGAAGTCTTCATGACCGTCCTCTTATTTTTGTTTTCAGTACCTACCATCAAATATTTAGTAAACTCAAAAGCTAAGGAACAAAATGATATCTGACGTTTTCATTACCGTCGCTTAACTGTATGTAGTAGACTCGCTCCTCCTCTGTCCAGTGTCACAAAGACCTAATGGAGAGCCGGCAATTAAAAAAATGTAAGCAGAGGCGAACGTAGACAGCAAATAAACCATGCAAGCGAACTACAAGCTCTGGCATTGCCAGTGGGTCACTTTGGCCCTTTCATTGGTACCTGCGGCAAGACCGAGTTACATCCACCAGAGCCGAAATCGGCGGCTACAGTTAACGCAGGCATTACGCCGGAACGACCAGCTCGCCATCTCTAATAATAGTTTTGGATCACGGCTGGTGCCGCGCGAGTCCTTCCTATGAGCCCTTTTCGCCTAACCAATGGTGATCCTCACTGGCTGTGACGGACGAACCACATCGTATTGGCACGATATTGATAACGACTGCAACATTCAGTCGGAATTTCCCCGGAGCTTTGGGAAAACTTGGTAAAGGCGGGTTCCTTAAAACCGTTGAGGTTGTATCTTAGAGGTTGTACCGTCTGGCGTCTTTAAAACTAACAGCGAGGTCCTGGTGGCAAGAGAAATCCTTTAATTACGGTCCACGGTCGCGATTTCGACGTGTTTTGGTTGCGCTTTTGGAGGCAGGCAACATGCACACCTCTGTTTCGCGAGTATTTTATATTAATATCTCGCGGCCGTGGGCTTCAGGCTTGCCAGAAAATAAGGAACACGTCAGCTAATGTCTAGAGAATGAACCATTACAGGACCCTATCGGCTCAAACTGGACACAAGCAGTAGATGAACATGAGGGCAATCACCCATCAGTAGCAGTATCCATTACCCGAAAAATAACCCCGAAGCGTTTTCTTCAAGCGTTTGTATTTCAAAGTAGTATAAAAGGCAGTGAGCATAAACACGTCTTGGTCTCAGATGTCAATTATCACAAAAACCTCATGCTGGCCCTCCTTGTCATAAATTTGCATATTCGAGTAAGTAATAGCCTTCACTTCCGTGCCCTGAAAAAAAAATATATACCATGACAACCTCCGAAGAAGGCCTACCTGAGGGTGCTTGCCTAACTGAAAGGGTTCTCCCCAACTACAGTGAGGCACTAAATAGAAGAGGGATTAGGAGGAACTACCCGGTGGCTTTGATTCGAAAATTAACCTCATCAAACTCTGTTATCTTTATGACCTGCGAAAAAAAGAAGGGGTGTGTGTTTAGGCATGAATAAGAAATACTTCAAATAACGATAAAGAAGAAATGAAAAAGCAGCGTACCCTGGGAAAGAAGAAGTCATCCGCAGAAAAAGCAAAAAGCCACTCATCCAAAAAGTGGAATAATAGCGACATCATATCTTCTCCTAAGGGAACAGATTATCAACAGTTAGTTCTATGTGATGTCGAAAAGTGATAAACACGCTAAGAAGGCAGTACGAATTCAAGATTTTTCAATTGTACCAAGAAAGATCGGACGAAATGCTTGTGGGTGTGACCCTAAAGTTCAAATCCACTGACGAAGATTCAAAATCCGGGCCCGGCTTGTAATATGAGTGGCAGAGCTTTCCGGTCGCTGTCGTCAATATAGTTAGACCACTGACCATATTACCGAGAACAGTACTTTAAAACCCCACTGGAAGATTTAAAAATAAGCTTAACCCATGGTTAGCCTATCAAGGTGAGAAACCCAAGAAATTGTGCTTGATCGGCGCGAGGACTAGACGAGAAGATTACGAAGGCATTCCCTAAAATAAGGCCAGGATAAAGCCACAAGTACTTTAGACACAAATTAATTGAAACTGACGTATCGTATGACCATTACAGTATGCAGTAAGCATCATGAGCAATTGTCCACAACCCCGTACTGTACTGATAACTAAGAACTATTATACGGGAGTTTGCACTACCGACAAGAATTTAACATTGTCGCCGGTATCTGATGTCTATAATAGGGGTCAAAATGAGTTATTATTGGACTTTTGTAGGAACTTAGGTTTCCCTGAAAAAATTAGTAATAATAGGAAATCATTGTGTTGGTTTTAAAGTGTACTACAAAAACATTAATACAATTACGCAAATACAAGTGGTCTTTATGTTTTTGAAGACTTACGACAGTGTCTTTGGCGAACATATACACAAGGTGGTATTAAAATGGAAAGGTGTGAAAGCAAAGGCCGGGTTCAAAAAATACAAACAACGGAATATTGTGAAATTAAATGCGTCAAGATCCTAATACTGCTTTTTATAAGTTAATAATTTTCTACATAATGGTCTTGAAACATCTTAAAAGGAAAGGTGTTAGTGCCTATCTGCTGATTGGCATTACCATAAGTCAACTTAAACGGTCGTTCCTAGCTAAATTTACATTCAGGGATTTCGGTATACATTGGAGGCGAATCAGGAATTAAGAATATTTACGACTTGACAGCCCTTGGGAGCTATTGTCACCTTAAGTACTGTTGGAAAGCAAAGGAATGGTTACAATCAATGTGACGCAAAGCTGCCTACAAGACGCCGTATATTAGACCTATACACGTGCAGTAAAGAAGACAATGTGTTTTTCTCTGTCCTATGCTTCAAAAAATATTTTAGAAAAATTAATACCTTGTGCCTCGATCTCCGTTTTGCTTTTCATTTCTACGGTGGAGTAGTCCTGCGTCATATATTCAAACATAGCTGTGGCCACCTTATCTAAAATAAGATATTGATTAGCTCTCTAACTTGTTCAAAGGCCTCCTTTAAGCTATCACCCCACGCGTGCAATCTAAAGACGAAGGTTAAATGCTGCGAGTTCCACGTACTGGACATCGGCCGTGTGATCCAGATCTGGTCAAAATAAAATGGGATGAAGAGGCTTACATTCGTATTTTTTCGGGGGAATTGGAATATCACCTTGCATGTTGTCCTGCATAATTTATAACCTGTTGCGTGGGAAAGTTAAAGGTACACTTCATTAATGTCTATGTCAAATAAATTTTTAAGACTGCAAGGAAAAGTCAGTTTTGCACTTGTGAATTTCAAGGCAAACAGTTTACGAGAAGCAGTACATTCAATGTATTAATTATTTTTTTGACTGGAAAGAGGCAAAATATTCTTTAAAAATGGTGTTTACTCTAGCAATGCCTTTAAACTGGCTAGTTACTGAGCCTTTCCTAAAAACACCGGTAAAGGAACTTCTGATACCAGGGCAAGATTGAAATAAGTGGTTAGTAAAAAGCCAAATGATCGGTAGTCAGTCCCCGTTAATGTACAGTAAGCACTATGACGCAAACGGCCAGTTTAAGTAAAAAGTTGCAATTAATGGAAAAATAGTTTAGGCCATCGCAGTCGGTTGGACTTCATGCATGCATGGTCAGTACTGTCAAAAGACAATTGTCTTAACTTGACTCAGATTATTCATCATCAAAACTACCAGGCCCTAAGCAAATGCAGTAAGGTAACCGAGGTTCCCATACTACTTGTAT